AAATTTGTTATACGGGGTGTTTATTGATATGTTCATGGTTTAGAATTGATAAATTCGCAAAATCAGATAGTTTGACGAGTTTGACGAGTTTGACGAGTTTGACGAGTTTGACGAGTTTGACGAGTTTGACGAGTTTGACGAGTTTGACGAGTCAACGCGGTCAACCTGTGGTCAAAATGACATTCCGATTGTTCAAAGTTGTGTACATGGTCTATTATGACGTATTGAGCGTGTTTTTGTTATAAGGAGAGCATCTGGAAAAATGATAAATTCTACCCTAGACCAATGTGTAACATAAAGTGTAATAGAACATTTGGGGTTCCTGAGTTTGACGTGTTTGACGAGTTTCACGAGTTTGACGTGTTTGACGTGTTTGACGAGGTTCTTATCACGAAAGAGGTTCTTAATACGAAAGAGGTTTTAAACCTGATCAGATACAACTTAATCCGAAAGAGGTTCTTAAGAAATAAAATACTAATAAATTAAAGAGGTTCTTAACAAATGAAATAGTACGGAGAAGAATCTCAGCCTTCCTCGGTAGACACAGACACTTCCTTGCCATTCGCAAATATATCAGATGCTTGGGAGCAGCAGGGACCTCTACATCCTCCTTTTCCTGAGCAAGTATCCCTCCATCATCATCATCAGTCGAACCCAAAATAGTATTAGATACTGCTCTAGGAGTAGGGGGAATCGCATCACTATCATCTTCTTCATCATCAGTTCCTGCATATGACCAATATGAATATCAGTCATCGTTCGTCAACCAAAAGAGTCAAACCGGTCAAACTCATCAACCAAAAGAGTCAAACCAATCTAACTCGGGCTGTCCAAATAAAGTGTAAAGTGTAAAATCATACCTTGCTCGTTCTGTGCAGTTTCTACATCCTCTTGATTATTATCGGATTTTTGCACAAATTGATGATGTCCTACATATGAGCAATTATATGAATATCAGTCAAACTCGTCAACCAAAAGAGTCAAACCGGTCAAACTCGTCAACCAAAAGAGTCAAACCAATCTAACTCGGGCTACCCAAATAAAGTGTAGTGTAAGATCATACTTGCTCGTTCTGTGCAATTTCTATATCCTCTTTATCATTGTCAGATTTTTGCACAGATTGATGTCCTACATATGACCAATTATATGAATATCAGTCAAACTCGTCAACCAGAAGAGTCAAACCGGTCAAACTCGTCAACCAAAATAGTCAAACCAATCTAACTCGGGCTACCCAAATAAAGTGTAGTGTAAGATCATACCTTGCTCGTTCTGTGCAATTTCTATATCCTCTTGATCATTGTCAGATTCTTGCACAGATTGATGTCCTACATATGACCAATTATATGAATATCAGTCAAACTCGTCAACCAGAAGAGTCAAACCGGTCAAACTCGTCAACCAAAA